GGCATGTACACATACAAACAAACATAGGCATAATTGAAATTATAAAAAGAAAATAGATTATTTTAAGTCTCCCAGAGGGACCTGGATTTTCTGTAACTTGGGATTTGGGTATATTATGCAAATAAATTTAACTCAGAATGCTTAGTGATTTTAATTAGTTTTGACAAAACGGGAATGATAGCACTTTTTACACAAAGTAGGAAACTGACCACATCACATCACTAGGAAGCCACAGTCTGTATCTTGCCCTGTTTATGTCATGTTTATCTGTCATTTGGTCATGGCCATGGCATGGGCATGCACAAGCAGTGCCTTGAGGTCTCAGCCTCTCTCTAAGCACAAGGCATGCTCACCACAAAGCCAGAACCACACTGTGGCTTCTTCCACAGAGTCAGGCACCATAGAGCGTGGTGAGACCATTGAGGAGTGAGAATGGTAGGAGATGAAGCCCCTCCCTATCAGGAACCTCAGAGGGCAGAAAGCTGTGTCTTCTGCAAGCTTATAGTCATGCATGTCCTTGCTTTGCTCCATCCCAGCTTGGTCTGACTGTTGCAAGGAGTGTCATACTGCACTGTTGAGGGTGTTCTAGAACCATCTGCTGCCCTCCAGCCAGTATCACCGGCACATATGTTGATGTGTCTTGCAGGTTCCTCAGGGTAGAACTGCAGCTCCTAGAACCACCCAGCTGGCTCACTGGCATGGGTGGGGGACTATTCAAGGAGACCACTAGCAATGGCTTCCAAAGGGATGAGTCCTTGTAGAACCCAAGCCAAGCAGTACTCTGCCGAGCTAGTGTGGAGAACACGATTTGGAAAGCAGCTGAAAGATTGACAGCCTACACTAAGCAGCAAAGACAGAAGCATGTGGGCCTCGCAGTAAAATACCTTTGACCTCCAAAAATGGCCGAGCCCTGCAGACAGTAGCTGCTTTGTCAGTTGTTTGGACACTGACTCTGCTCTTTGAGGCAGATAAGTAACTCCCAAGGAAGACTAGTAACATACAACTTTACCAAAACTCCCTGCATAGCAGCTATGTTCTGCCCAATCCATTCCCAGAGTTTTATGTGCTCATGTGCTGTAGTCAGCAGGACTGTGGCTTTTGGGTCCCTCCCAGGGCCCTATGGTCTTCACTCTGCTATCCCTCCAAGACTAATGGTAGGAGAACACATGACTGGGGGGATGGGGCATTACCAGTCATCAGAACAACATAAACTAAAATAATGAGAAGTTAATTGAACTTATCTCATGAGGAAAAAATAATTATAAGTAGAGCCGAAACAGTCCTGCAAGCCCATCTGTGCTCCACATACCTGGCGGGACTGTATATTGGGATGGCTTATCTAAGGTGGATTTGACAACACCTCCCATGGTCTACTCATTCCTCTTGCAAGAATTTATTCTCAACAAGCTGAGGCTTACTTACATCGAGTGCTAGTAGACAAAGTGTTCCTCAAAGCGTGATAGAACAGAATCCATATGAATGGTTGACACTGGTCAGATCCTGTGTATATTACTGGCTTACCATTCATCCATTACAATTGAATGCTGGACGGAATTTATCTTAAAGTGGAAGAAATAAAATGCAGTGGCCACGGACTCGGTGGTGTGTGCCTGCTGTCCCAGCTCTTGGGAGGAAGACACATAAGGATCAGGAATTCAAGGCCAGCCTGTATTGCTTGAGACCTTGCATCAACAAATTAATAATCAAACCAAAATATAGCAAAATCTCTAATAATGACTAAAAGTAGAATACAGGAATAAATTCATTGGGTTTTCTGCTTTCCTTTCTCTGGTGAATTTCTTTCCCAGATTTTTACAAATGTTATAATCTGGAAATGCTAATTAATCTTTCTGAGTCTTGGTTTTCTTACCTACCAAAGAGGAAAATTAGTGGTGCTGGTGAAGTTTAAATGAGGCAACTTATTTGGCACACTTATCACTGTGCATTACACAGTGTAACTGTCTGATCAATGTTAGTGTTAAGTCACTTCTGTGCGTCAGATTCCTCCTATGATGGAGGAATGATGGCCGCTCCTCCCTGAAGCTTAGGTGGGTGTGTGGGAGCACATGGTGAGCATGGCAGGCAGCCACCAAAGAACAAGTGCCGTCTGCTGCCTGATCCCTTTGTCCTAGGAAGCTTCACAGAATGAGATTCCTGGACAACCCCAGGCCCTCCCACAGCCTCTGGGATGATGGCTAGTGGTATCTGGGTTTGGTTCTTGTACATGTTCTTCCAACATTAATTTCAACAAGGAATATATTTTCTTTTGTTATTTATGTTTTAGAAATGATGACGTTAGAGTGTGAACATTCTTCTGTTTGGCTCATCAGAACAGCTGACTTTCGTGAGCATCTTGCAGGGAGCGGCTTTTCTGTGCTGTCTAGCCCTGGTCTTTTGTGGGGAGCATCTGAATATCTGTGCTCAACACTGCAGTGCTACCCAATGCTCTCTTCAATTGCTTTAAAACTGTGCAGACTGGAGTTACTTGGGAAGATTTGAAATATAATGATGTTGGACTCCTCCCTAGACAAATCAAATCCGCACATCTGGAAGTGGGCCCTGGGCATTGGATTTGGGGGTGTTTGTTTGTTTCTATGTAGGGGGGTGCTGAGTGTATGCATGTACACCATGTGCAGGTACTCACAAAGGCCAGAAAAGGGCATATGGACCTGGAGTTATAGACAGCTGTAAGCTACCACATGGATGCTGGGAACTGAACTTGATAGAGGTCCTCTCCAAGAGCAACAAGTGGTCTTGACCACAGACACATCTCTCTAGCCCCCACTGGTAGTTTTTTTTAAAAGACTTCAAAAGAAAGTCACATGCAGTGAAAACTCACTTCCCCACTTAGAAGTATTATCTGAGAGTAAGAATCTCCTGGGAAGGGGGAGGAGGTGGCTCGGCAGTTAAAGCATTTGCCGTGCAAGCTTGAGAAATAAGAGTTCAGATCCCTAGCACAAAGAAATGCCACGAGGCTGTGGTGGACTGCTCGGAATTCAGCCTTCAAAGGCTGAGATTAGGGATACTTGGACCTAGCTGGCTAGCAAGACAAGCCATGCCTGCAAGCTCTGCGCTTGCTTGGGAGACCCTGCCTGGGGGGTTCGGGGGGTGGGGGAAGCAATAGAGAGAATTCTCAACATCAACCTTAACCCCCATATACATGCACATACACACTCTTGTGCGTGTGCGTGCATTTACACACACAGGAGTTCACACACCCACATGAGTTCATACACACACACATACACACACACATTCACACACACTGCACATGCGTGCGTACACACACACACAGGAGTTCACACACCCACATGAGTTCACACATACACAAAGTGGAAAAAGGAAAAAAATCCCCTAATGTATTAGTTAAACATGTAGATGCCTGGGTCTAAATCATGTCTACCGAGTGGGCTTTCACAAGAAGAGAGTTGATAATCTGAATACAGACTTGTGCCATTCAAAGGTGGACTGTGTTCTGAAAGACATGTTGTTTATTCATTTTGGCATTGTGCAGGTAGTAGAGGAGGCCAAGAAGTCAGATGATACAAAATGCAGAGAATGCCCCCAGCATATTACAGCCAACCAGAACTACCCTTTAATAATAAATAAATAAATAAATAAATAAACAAACATTCTCACTTATTGTCATGTGCCATGTCTACATAATTGTACCTGATGTGCCACTATCTGACCCGGGCAGTAAATACTGGACGCTGACATTAACATTGCCACACACGAGTTGTACCATAGTGTCAGTATAGCTGTAACAGCATTGGTGGGGCTTCCTACTCTGTTGTCATCTTTCAAAACCACTGTCAACATATGCAGTATGTCATTGACTACAACATGGTTGTTTAGTGGGGCATGACTGCTTGACACACCTGTATGGTGATTCTCACTAGCAGAGAAAGCCTGCAGGCTCTGGTGCTCGGTCACCCCAAGGTCCCATATTCTAACACATTGAAGATACGCCTGGGCATTAGGATTTTAAAATCCCCTAGATTCAGATGTGCAGTCTCCAGCAATATAAGTTCCCAAGACTTGCAGTAGCATCCCCCTGTGGGATGTAACCCATGTGTAATATGGTACCCTATCCAGTTGCACTGAGCATGACTCCCGGCAGTGTGTCTCATAGGTGCCCCACCCTTGGTGATTCTGGCCTGTGTGGTGATGCAGTGCTTTGAAGATCAGACTCTCTGAGATTGCTCAGTTGGTCTGGCCCATGTCTGGCCTGTGGTCTAGGACTGCTGGGGGGAATATTCCTCCTCCAGGGTGCTCCCTTAACTCAGGTGTTTTGAAGCTGTGAGATTTGTGTCCTCTCTAGTATAGCCGGCATCCCTGGTGTTCTGTGGAACCTGCTGCTGTTACTTGGCTCTTGATGACAATACACAGGCTGTCTTCCAACCATGATTGGTGAAGTTTGTTTTTGGTTTGTTTGTTGTTTTGTTTTTTTTTTCTAGTTGGCAAAGTCCTGCAGTTGGGGACTGTCTTAGTCATAGTTTTATTGCTGTGAAGAAACATAGTGACTCTAATGAAAGAAAGCATTCCATCGGGGCTGGCTTCCAGTTTCAGCGGTTTTAGTCCATTATCATTATGGTGGGGAGCATGCCAGCAGGGTGGCATGGGAGCAGTAGCTTAAAACTACATCCTGATCCATGGGCAGAGAGACAGAGAGAGACAGAGAGAGACAGAGAGAGACAGAGAGAGACAGAGACAGACAGACAGCCTCTGGGCTAGTCATAGGCTTTTGAAACCTCAAAGGCCATCCTAGTGACTCCCTCCCTCCCACAAGGCTGCAGCTCTTAATCCTTTTAATCCTTTCAAATAATGCCACTCCCCAGTGCTAAGCATTCAATTATAAGAGCCTCTGGGGGCCGTTCTTACTCACCACAGGAACCAAGTTTTCAAAGGTGATAACCCAAGTTTGACCTTGAGCACTGATCACTGAAGCAGATGAAGGTGTATATGTCTTATGTAACATCTGCCTCTCTGTTTTGCAGGTTTTTAAATCAACCCGCCTTAGCATGGTCCTCTCACCCCCAAAGTGGTAGAGATCACATCTATTGGAGCAGAGGAAGGCAGGAGGGCAGTGGCTCCCTGTGTCCCAGGGACCGGAAAGAACTGGAGGTCAGAGGAATGGCTCAGGCTCACAGCCTGCCCATCCATGTGAGAGAGAGTCCGTGGGAAGTTGCAGGAAGGACAGAGCATGTGATAAAGAATGCCGTTTGGGAAGAAGAGCTGAGAATGCCGACTCCTGCGAAGGGAGAGGACGTGAGCTTGGGAAGCTGGAAGCAGCCCAGGAAGTTAGGGAGGCAAGCATCCGATGGTGGTGATGGACAGAAAAGGTCCCAGGAAAGGTTCGAGGATTTGTACCAGTTTGTTCATGGAGAGCACATGCTGACATCTCAGAACAGAAAGAAATCTCAGTCACTGCCCCGAGCTCTTTCTCCTAAGAGCCTGAATTTCACAGAAATCCCTGTTCCACTATATGATGGTCATATAACGGGTGTCCCCAAAGTGCCACCATACCCTCCCAGCTGTCCACCACCTTTGGAACCCACAAGGAACCTTGAGAAGACTGGTTCCTCGGGCCCTTTTCCCAGGCCTAAATTTGGGAAGCCCCTTAAGACTTCAAGTTATGGCTCTCACTCACAGCCCAGGGGAGAAGGTGGATTTCAGGACCACCAGCACAGGGAACCACGTGGCTCCTACCCAACAAGAAGTAAGAATCCCAGCCATGAGTTGGGTATGCTGGATACTGGCTTGGAGCCCCCAGTGTATGTGCCCCCACCTTCATACAGATCACCCCCTCAGCACATTCCAAACCCCTACCTTGAAGATCCTGTGCCCAAGCATGTGAGCAGCAGTCAGAGTCAGCAGCAGCAACTACCTGAGAAACCTGAGGCCGGCTGTTCACTTCCTTCTGGCTCCCTTGAAGCTAGGGATCTCTATGATGCAATGCCTGGCTCTCCTCCTCAAGGTCTTCCTCCACACCCCTATCCTGTTGCCACCCATGGGAGTTCTATTCAGTACATTCCATTTGATGATCCACGGATCCGACATATCAAACTAGCTCAGCCCCCAGAATTCTATGAAGAGGCAAAGCTTGATGACGCATCCTATAACTCCGGTTTCATCACTACCCAGGAACCAGCTCTTGGGAAAAGACAGTATGATGATGCCCTTTCAGCACCACAGGGATCAACACCCCCACCTGTCAATGAGCGGGGCTCAGCCTTTGCCCATTCCAGCCCCCGGTGGCTGCAGAGCCAGTTCTCCATGGGCATTGAACTGGGAGGCTTCCCTAGCCAAACAGAGCATTATGTCATGAGAGGATTAACAACTGATATGAGAGACAGCAAGGCAGAAAGCCATGCCTCTTCCCCACAGCCACCGAGTGAAGGTACCTGCAAAACCTACACTAAGCTCAGAAAGTTTGAAACTGGGATTCAGAGCAAGAAAAATTCAAAGAAGAAAAGTAACGCAACCATATTTTGTTTGGTTTCTGTCCCAGTTAAATCTGAGTCACTCGAGCCAGATACAGATACAAACAACAATGACTTAAAGCTGGAAGCTGATAAGACCCATGGGCTGTGTCAGGGTCCAGCCCTGGAGGAACAGAGTCTGCTGAGCATGTCTTCCACCGACCTGGAGCTGCAAGCCCTCATGGGAAGCACAGCTTGGAGAAGAACATCCCCAAGGCAAGGTCTGGGGGAGTCAGAAGATGGCCAGACTGATGACCCCAGAATCCTCCACCTCATCAAATCCAGAGAGCTCCAGGCTTCCGGCTTATGGCCAGGACACCAGTATAGAGATCAGCAGACCCAAACCAGTTTCCCTGAAGACTCCAAAAGCTCACAGGTCCTCCCTGCCACAAAGCCAGGAGAGGCTAGCAATGCAGCACTGACCCCAACATGCCCAGATACCACTGCCTCTGAAGTACACCTGCATGCGGCCTTAGCATCCAGTGATCAAAATCAGAAGCCCAGTGTACCTCACCTTCAAGGGCAAAGGTCCCTCAGCCCATCTCGAAACAGTGCTTTCTCAAGGACATCCTCAGCCATAAACCAAGCATCTATGCCCAAAGGGGCCTCTGACCAGCTCCCAAGTACCAGCTCTGTTCCCAAGCCAGAGGTGGTGAAAGGGGAGTCTACAACAGGCCAATGCAATAGCACACAACTCTTCGGTCAGTTTCTTTTGAAACCAGTTAGCCGGCGGCCCTGGGATCTGATAAGTCAGTTAGAAAGTTTTAACAAGGAGCTTCAGGAAGAGGAAGAAAGCCATGGTGCTAGTGGTGGGGACAGTAGTGATGACAGTGAGGCAGAACAGCCAGAGGACAGTGCTGACTCCAGAGCTAAGAGCCGAGGCCACCAGGAAACTAGAACAGAACAGTGGCCTGCAGGGCTGCCATTGGGGGATGCAGCATCTCCAGAAGGAAGACTTAATGAGTCACAGAACTGGAATGAGGAACCAAAACCTGGCCACCCATGTGCCCATCCACAGCCCCCGGGCCCATCACAGGAGGAAGACAGCAGAGGTGTTCCAGTCCAACGAGCAGATGGGAGCCTGACTGCAGAGCAGAAAAGCCAGGAGGTTTTGAATGGGACCTGTGAGGGGGACATTAGCCCAAGGCCTGAGAGCAGGATTATGCCCGTTGACACAAAAACAGCCCCTTTCTTCTGTCTGACAGAACCGAGAGGAAGTCAAGACCTCACCAAAGTCAGCAGTGCTTTAGGGTCTGTGCAGCTGGGCAGAGAGACTCCCACAGAGGTGGACAGTGGTAGGGACGCAGAGGTCCTACCCTGTGTCCTGCCGCCCTTTGCTGACAAATATCTAGGCCTCTCAACACCAGACTTTCGGTCTTTAGAGCTCACACTGGGACAAGAGCAGACTGCCTATAAATCAGAGTATCTGGGTTTAGAGAACACCATGGAAGTCCTTCCAAGTGAGTCTCTGCAGGAAAGGGCAGAGAGGATCCTGGGCATCGAGGTGGCTGTGGAGTCCCTTCTGCCAGGTGCCAGGAGAACAGAACAGAGCCAGCTCCCTGAGCCTGATGCAAGTACCTGCGGCCCACAGTCCTCCAGAGAGGACTCATTGCCCAGCCTGGCACCCCCAGGGACCCCCACAGTGGCCACTGATGCCTTCTATGGCAGGAGGAAGTGTGGCTGGACTGAGAGCCCCCTTTTCGTAGGAGAAAGGGCCCCCCAGGCTTCTGTATGCTCAGATGTGGAGGGGTTCCCCGCAAGCCAGGCCCCTAGTCCTGATCCTGAGAAAAACGAGGAGTCAAAACCACCCTTCAAATCCACTCTGTTCCATTTCATGGAGAAGTCCACACATGTGGTGGGCCCTGAAAAGAGGCTCAGAAACCCTTCCAAAGTGATCGAGGGCTTACAAGAAAAACTAGTATCACCTCCAAAGAGGGCAGACTCAGTTCGCTTGATAAGAATGAGGGAGGTAAACTCCTTGTCTCAGATGAGAGGTCTGAGCTCCAGAAGTACAGACTCCATGGAGGAGCCCGACCCCTTAAAGGGCACCAAGAATTCAGCCTGGCTTTCAGAAGGCCTTACTTCCATGAGTAGTAAAGACCAGGCCTGGGGAGTGGGGCATCTGCCCTCTGTCTCTCAAAATGAAAACGGACACCCTGAAGTGCCAAGAGAGAAGATGTCAGACCATGACTTGTGGTGTGCAGGTAAGGAGTTGGGCTGGAGGGCTGGTGTTTGGTGTTAGTTTGGAGTCATGTGATCATCAGAAGCAGGACTAGTTGGTGGGTATCCTCAATGCTGGCAACAGTTTCATGAAATGATCCTTCGTGAAGGCATGGTGGTATGCCCTTGTATAGATGGTTCCTTCACGCAGGCGTGGTGGCACACACTTGCCATCTTTGTACTTAGGAGTCTGACATAGGAAGAACTTGAAAGCCAGCCAGGGCTACATAGCAAGATGTCATCAATTAAATATTTTAAAAGAAGGTCTGGCAAGGTTGCCAACAGGTCAGGGTACTTGCTGTGCAAGTTTGGTGACTGAGCCCCACCTGTGAGCCCTGAGTAAGGGTCATAGGAGAGAAGCAGTCTACAGAGTTGTGGACCTTCACATGTGCACAAGAATAATGAATACATTTAAAAAATAAACTCAGTTTCAAAAATGTACCCAGCTTTCTCAGTTAAGCTTTCTCAAGAGTCAAGATCTTGTCATGTATTTTGAATGATTATATCATTGGAATTGGCGAGGAAAGCAGCCACATAGAATTATCTTTATAAACAATGTCTCAGGCCTCGGAATGTGCTGCAGACATGAGACATAACAAGCGTCCCAGCCCGGCTGTGGCCGCTCAGTGGCTCATGCTGGGGACAGAATGTTTCTAATCTTCTTCTCTTCCAAAACAATGGACATCCATCCAAGTGACCCCATGATTGTTCTTTGCTAGCTTGCTTACTTACTTACTTACTTTATTTATTTATTCAATTATTCATTTATTCATTTATTCATTTATTCATTTATTTGAGGTGAGGTCTCTACATGTGGTCCAGGCTGGTCTCAGACTTACGGAGATCCATCTTCCTCTGTTTTCTGAGTGCTGGGATTAATAGTGTGTACCACCACATCCAGGCTTTTTTCTTTTAAGATTTTTTTTCGTACAATGTGTTCTGATTCATTTTCTCTCCCCCAGCTCCTCCGAGATCCTTCCCACTTCCCAACTCATTCACATTCATTTATTTTTATTTTATTTTATGAGTGTGAGTGTTTTCTTTTCTCTGCATGTATGTTTTGTGTAGTGCATCCATGCAGTACCTACAAAGGCCAGAGGAGGGCGTCAGAGCCCCCGAAACTGAAGTGGCAGACAGTTGTATAGGTATAAAAACACACCCAGGTTTTGAAGCCTCAATACGGAAAATTTGAAATATCTTAATAATTTTACATTTAAATGTTACATGTTGAAGTGAGAATATTCTGGACATGTAGTATTAAATATAATTTCACCTTTTCTTTTTAATTTGTTTTAATGTACTTACTAGAAATTTTAAAATAACAGTATATGACTTAGACTAGTTTTGTTGGACCTAGCTGGTCTATGAACTAAAGATCTTATTGTTCTAGCATAGTGGTTCTCAACCGTCCTAATGCTTTGGCCCTTTAATACATTCTTTATATTGTGGTGATCCCCAACAATAAGATTATTTCAATTGCTGCTTTAGAGCTGTAATTTTGCTATTGTTATGAATCATAATTAAATATCTGATATGCAAGCTGGTTTTAGGCAACCCCTATGAAAGAGGTCATTCAACCCCCAGAGGGGTTGTGACAGACCCAGTGTTCTAGAGAGTTCTTTCCATGGCTCCCTGTATTTGGGTCCTTAGCTTCAAGTTTGGGTCTTGGGATTGTGGGACATTATATGGCATTGGTCACTCTGACTGATTGCCTTTCCCAGTAATGAGATTGCTGGATTTTATCATAGTTCTATTTCTGTTCATATTTTTGGGGGGATCTCTACATTTTAAAGGCTATCTTGCACTCTTAGAGATTTGTCAACTGTTTTTTTCTTTCTTAAAAATTTAGGCCGGGCGGTGGTGGCACACGCCTTTAATCCCAGCACTTGGGAGGCAGAGGCAGGTGGATTTCTGAGTTCGAGGCTAGCCTGGTCTACAGAGTGAGTTCCAGGACAGCCCGGGCTATACAGAGAAACCCTGTCTCAAAAAAAAAAAAATTTAGGAATGCTAAGGCAGGGAAATCTGACAACAGAGGCACAGAGGTGAGCCTCAGTCTCCAAGGCGCCAAGGGTCAGACTGTCCAGCTCAGCAGCACACATCGCCCATCCCAGGGGCAGCTTGCGATTAGTGTCCCTTTCCATGGTGTCCATTAGAGAAATTCAGGTCATCTGGGCTCAGTTTGAGGAACCGGTCCTGGTCTGTCTGTTTGCTGGTGGTGGCTGGAGACAGGAACTTTCTTCTTGTTAGCCATGCATTTGACAGTTCAGGTCCCCCAAGCCTCAGAGGGAGGAATTTGTTCTTAAAGATGTTGTCATTGGATTGAGAGGGGCGTAGGAGTGCAAAGTACTGAGTTCAAAACTCCACAGCCCAAAAGCCAGTTCTAGCAGCCTGCCTATGATCTCAGTGCTGAGGGAGCAAAGGCTGAGGAGTTGTGAAGATCTTCGGCCAGCCAGATCACAGATCAGACAACTCAGTGAGCTCCAGCTCAGCAGGAGACCTTACCTCAGAAACTATGGTGGTCACACAGGGAAAAAAATAAGAACAACATGAAAGCAATTGAGGAAGATATCCAGTATCCACCATCAGTCTCAGTCTCTGGCTCTTCTGGCACACAGCACAAGTGTGCGCTCTCTCTCTCTCTCTCTCTCTCTCTCTCTCTCTCTCTCTCTCTCTC